CGCCAAATGCAAGTGAAAACATGTTGATGTTAGTTAACTTGTTAACTATATATATATATATATATATATATATATATATATATATATATATATATATATATATATATATATATATATATATATATATATATATATATATATATATATATATATATATATATATATATATATATATATATATATATATAATAACAGCAGATCCAAACGAAAACGTGATAAGAATCTGATAAAATCACACGAAAAGGGAAACAACGACCACCTTAGCTTTCATCTTATTCAAGACATCTTCAGAGGCAACTGGACACATGGACAGAGAGAGGCTTTGATTACAGGGTGACCTACAAACATGAGGTCAGGTCATACGGTGTCATTCACTAATCCTCACACCAACACACACGAGGAGCTAAAGAGAAGGGGCCACGGACTGTCAGGTCAGGTCAAAATAAGGACCCACTAGACAACTATCCACATCTAGATCAGAAGTTAAAGATATTTACCGACTAATAATGGCGTAACATTATCAGTGATGGTCAATCAAACCGATAATATGTTACATAAATATATTGTCAGTGGCCCAAGGTTAAAAATGCTATATATATATACAGTAATACCGCCACGCGTTTCACTAACGCACTTCGCATTTACGCTGCACCGCCAGAACTGGACTTTCACTTTACGCGTGCATCTACTCACATACGCCGGAAGCACAAGGATGCCATCGAATACCCAGTCATCAAAACATTACCGAGTTTCACCTGCCACCACCACAGCCGCCCAAGTCAGCAGATACAGTGATAGTGAGGATAGGACTATATGGACTTTTGAGGGTTTGGACAAAGAGCCCTGCAAGCCTAGGTGGTGGATAGGTGACACAATTGATACAAGTGATACAGGAGGGCTACGAAGGTTCTCTGCCTCAGAACCAACCCCATCCCTGTGTGCCTCAGCCATCTTCTCTACTACTATGTTAAAAAACTATATTACTAATATTTAATTATTAATTGTGTGTGCATACCATCATACCAAGATACTTAGCTGCAATGCAGGTAGGTTGTGTCTGAAAAGAGCTTGGGGTCGGGCCAGTCTTACTGGAATTAATCCCATATGTTTTATTCTACTCCCTATTTCCTGAGTGTGAGATATCACATGTATGTAAGTTTGTGCCATATAAAGAGAATTGACACCACATACAGCACGCCACACTACTGTAATGTAGTATTAGTTATGGGCTGCAAATTGGTACCATTTTACTGTAATCCACAAGACTAATACCATGTTGGAGCTTGATAAACTTATATAGAGCAACTTTCTAGACTATTACAAATTCTGTGAGTGTCGGCTCGAGAAACTATTTTTTAGATTGCCCCACCTGCACTGTTGCCTGTTTTTATCTCATAAAATTCATACAAATTACCCGGCCAGAATATAATTTACATTGCTGGAATTCTTACAATATGATGATCATTTTGAATATAAACATCATAGATTTTGCATTAGACATACAAATTTTAGATATAATGTTTACTCTGAGTAAATATGTTATCTTTTGTGCAAAATATATGATATTTATATTCAAAATATTCTTGGTCTTACAAGGAATCCAGCAATGTCAATTATATTATCCTAACTTTAGTTTGAGGTATTATTTATTACTAAAAAGGTAAATATTCTGGTTTTCCCACACATCTGGTAGGGAGGGTTGGTGGGAGGTGGGGGGAGGGAGGGACCGACCGACCATCTGTTACAGTGTGAAGAATATGTTTTTTTTTTATTAACTTTAGATATTTGTTTTAGCTCATAAAATTCATACAAATTACCCGGTCAGAATATAATTTACATTGCTGGAATTCTTACAATTTGATGATCATTTTGAATATAAACATCATATATTTTGCATCAGACATACAAATTTTAGATATAATGTTTACTCTGAGTAAATAGGTTATCTTTTGTGAAAAATATATGACATTTATATTCAAAATATTCCTGGTCTTACAAGGAATCCAGCAATGTCAATTATATTATCCTAACTTTAGTTTGAGGTATTATTTATTTCAAAAAAGTTAAGTATTCTGGTTTTCCCACGCATCTCCTTGGGACGGTTGGTAGGGGGTGGGGGGGAGGGAGGGACCGACCGACCATCTGTTACCCCGTGAAGAATATTTTTTTTTTTTATTAACTGAAGATATTTGTTTTAGCTCATAAAATTCATACAAATTACCCGGTCAGAATATAATTTACATTGCTGGAATTCTTATAATTTGATGATCATTTTGAATATAAACATCATATATTTTGCATTAGACATACAAATTTTTAGATAAAATGTTTAATCTGAGTAAGATATGTTATCTTTTGTGCAAAATATATGACGTTTATATTCAAAATATTCCTGGTCTTACAAGGAATCCAGCAATGTCAATTATATTATCCTAACTTTAATCTGAGGTATTATTTAATACAAAATGTTAAAATTTATTTTTTTCACCCACTCTTCTCTTGAAGGGAGGATTGGTGGGGGGTGGGGGGAGGGTTGGGACTGACCGCGCCGGTTGGAAGAGGGGGAAGGCAAGGTGGGGTACTTTGATTGACAGATAGTGTCCTGAAGAATATTTTTTTTTATTAACTGAAGATATTTGTTTTAGCTCATAAAATTCATACAAATTACCCGGTCAGAATATAATTTACATTGCTGGAATTCTTATAATTTGATGATCATTTTGAATATAAACATCATATATTTTGCATTAGACATACAAATTTTAGATAAAATGTTTTCTGAGTAATATGTTATCTTTTGTGCAAAATATATGACATTTATATTCAAAAATATTCCTGGTCTTACAAGGAATCCAGCAATGTCAATTGTATTATCCTAACTTAGTTTGAGGTATTATTTTATTAAAATCTAGTGGTTTTCCCAAAATTTCTCAGAGAGGGAAGAGCCGGCAGTGTAGTGTGAGAGAGGGGGAGGGAGTTGAGTCCATTATTTGAATGGACATTAACTTGGCGACTGTATTTCTCTATTTCTCTTAAGTATTAATTGTGTGCATGTACCATCATAAAATTAAGATGCTATTTTTACTACAACATAGTTATGTGTCTTCAAAAAGTGGAGTTTGGGGGTCGGGCCGGTTT